GGATGGTCTCGATCTCCTGACCTCGTGATCCGCCCGTCTCGGCCTCCCAAAGTGCTGGGATTACAGGCTTGAGCCACCGCGCCCGGCCTTCATTAAGTATTATTTCAGCATTTACTATGTGCTGGGTAGTGATATGGTATACAAAATAAAATATAGTCTCCTCATGTATTCTAAAGGATAAGGTCAATATTAGTCAAACAATCACACAAATAAATGTAAAGTTATAACTTTGGTAACATATGAATGAAAAGTATGAATGTCACTTTGCACCCCTCTTACATCTGTGACCAAGATCCTTGATCAAATCAAGGTAAATCTCTAAAACTCAATATTTGTGACATACTTGTTCAACTTACACAGATTTTTCAGTATAAGTGTATGTAGTTATTATTGAAATTGAAGTCAGAAACTCAGACACTTTATTGTATTGGGAGCCATGTTCTTGAAGTCTGCATGAGAAGAGACATGCCAGTGTAAAACGTTAGTTCACTCAACACCGCTCCTACAAGGCTTCTGGTGGTTGGAAAACCAAAGGCTACAGCCATAGATCCTTTTGAAATCTAGTGGCTACTAAGTAATGACACAAAACGTGGGAGGTAGAAATGGGCATCTCTATTTTTTAAAAGTGTGTAGGTTGAAAAGGTTCTGGGGTTGAAAACCATTGCTCTTGATATTTTTCCCAGTTACCTAGTGAACATTTTCACTTTATTCTCAGGTGGCATTTCTGTGTCATTCTATCACAGTGGAACTTACTTTTTTCCATCAAAACTATCTTGTTATTTCAGCTTCTCTGTCTGTGTTTGTAATATCACCTTTCTCCCGTTGACCTAGTCTTATCGTTAACATGTCTTTTTTTTTTTTAATCCTCAAGAGCCAGTATGCTACAAAATTTTGTTGCTTTTTCCTTCTAAGCCATAAATGTTCTATCTTCTCACTATCCTGGGTCAGGCTATCATAGCTTCAATTTTTTTTTTTTTTAAAGACTAAAAGTGAAGTTTTAATTAATAGGTAAAAGAAAGAGAAAGGAGATCAGCTCTTCTGTGAGAGAGAGGGGCACCTGAGTGGGGCTTCCCATGGCTTCAAATTTTAATGACTTTAGTTAGCCCTCTAGCTTTTTCTTTCTTTCTTTCTTTCTTTTTTTTTTTGAGATGAGGTCTCGCTCTGTCACCCAGGTTGGAGTACAGTGGTGTGATCTTGGCTCACTGCAGCCTCAACTTCCCAGGCTCAAGCAATCTTCCCACCTCACTAGCTCTTTCTTTTTCAAAACTGTCTTTTCCTCTCTAGCATTTTTACATCTTCATTAAACACAACTTTTATCATCCTAATATTCTTTTAAAAATCTTCAGAAACTTACTTTTCCCCTGTAGTGTTAAGTCTAATTTAAAATTTTTGATACTTTTTGTTGATGCACCTCCTATATATTCAGGCATTTCTAGAAGAGTTTTTTCGTTGTTGTTGTTTTTAACATTTTTCATGTATTATTTAACTCTCATATCTTACGAGGGAGGTGATATTACCATTATGCAGATGAGGAAACAGGCTCTTTCACAGAATTAAGTGGAGAGACTTAAACAAATTGGGATAAGGGAAATGTTCTAAAATTGTGGCTATTTTGCATGATACAGTGAAAATACTAAAAACCACATTTCTATACTTTAAATGGATGAATTTTACAATATGTGAATTATATGTCAAGAAAGCTGTTTAAAAAATGTTATACGCATCATTTACACATTACACGTCATATATACACATTACACGTCATTTATACGTTATCTGTGCAGTGTTTTCACAGTCAAAGAGAGACTATAGTTATAAATGAGTAGAAGACATAGAAGTTCTTTTGCTTTTCCTTTTTTTTTCTCCTCATTGCCTCTCCCTTTGTGTCAGTGTATGTAAAACTGCTCTCTTGAACTTCTCTTACAAATCTGTTGTAGCTCCAATATTAGTCTTTTCTATTAACGGTATCCTCTTCCTAGCCTAAGCTTGAAGAAATCATAGAGTCAGCTTTCTTCTTCATTCTCCCTTACTTCCAGATATAATGTTGTAAAAGACTTGTCTGTTTTGTTTATAATGTATCTGACATAATGTCTGTTTTTACTACTGCTAATGAAATCAAAGTTGCCTGAACTATTATAGTAACCTCTGAATTTGTTTCCGCTTTAAACTCATCTTCTAATGTACTGTAGTCAAATTAATCTTTCAGAATTACAGTGCTAGTTATATTTGCCTTTCCCAAATCCGCTTTATCATTTTATTGCCTAATCCTCCAAGTTTTGTTGTTGTTGTTGAGTATCTTCATCGGTTAAAAACTTTTGAAACATTCACCCCAATATATGCCTATTTTAAAATAATGAATATTGTACTATGCTATTGCCTGTTGTAGGACTGTCCTTGGGCTAGCAGAATTGTATTTTCCCTGTTCATCTCTTTTACTGACAGTGTGGCCTTGGATTTTCAGCTTCTGTGCCTCAAATTAAAACCATCCCCCGGCAGCAAGTGTGCTGATTTTTCACAACTATCCCACTGTGGTCAAACTGTGCCAGCTAATCTGGTTGCATTTCCACCTCTGTGGAAACGGAATCAGACCTAGGTAAAAAAAGGCCATAGATTTCCATTGTTCATACCCAGAGTTCTAGCAGTTTTTTGTTGTTGTTGTTTTAAATGTGTCTCAATTTGTCTGTCTTTGGTTAGTTACCAGAGCTCTGAAATAGAATTGATAAAAATATTTCCAGTTTTGTACTTGTTCTTTGGGGTGAAGGTTTGTTGACCTCTTTTTAAAAATATAGCTTCGGCCGGGCACAGTGGCTCACTCCTGTAATCCCAGTGGCTCACGCCTGTAATCCCAGCACTTTGGGAGGCCGACGCTGGCAGATCACAAGGTCAGGAGATAGAGGCCATTCCTGGCCAACATGGTGAAACCCATCTCTACCAAAAATACAAAAATTAGCTGGGCCTGGTGGCGTGCGCCTGTAGTCCCAGCTACTCCGGAAGCTGAGTCAGGATAATCGATTGAACCCGGGAGGTGGAGGTTGCAGTGAGCCGACATAGCGCCATTACACTCCAGTCTGGCAACAAAACGAGACTCTGTCTCAAAAAAATATATATATACACACACACACACACACACACACACAGATATTTTTAGTAGAGACAGGGTTTTGCCATGTTGACCAGGCTGGTCTCAAACTCCTGACCTCAGATGAT